AATGTTGCAACTGGGAGCCTGTACCTTAGCATCTTTACATTTCCTAAACATTATTATATTTTCATACATAAGGTTGAGAAATAATAAAAAAATAAATAAATATGGGAAAATTAAAACCCATTTTGTCCTTATTCTCATCAAGAATCACTGAGGTGTTTAATCTATGTTATTGATTTAGTTTATGTATATAGCAAAATAAAAAGTTTTTGATTGGCATAGATTATCAGATATTTGTGATAATCAAAATGTTCTACTGTGTTTTCTGTTATAAGTTGAAAAACTTAGATAATGAGTGACACTGTTGTGTAAATACTCCAATAGCAATGTCAACTATGTCAAGTTAAGTTTTAACCTGAGGTTGCAGAATGCCGAAGTTCTTCATAAATTCAACCAAAAATTTAAATAAGCAAAAAGTTTACTTAAACAAGCAAACAGAGCCTAACATTAGTGTCTCTATTTCATTTGCAGGTTTGCAGAAGAATTAAACTACTGGTACAAGGAAAATTTTGACTAAATCATTTTTATTTATCTGCTGATAATCTACTCTTTTCTTTAGAGGGAATCTTTCCCCCCAAGAAATGTGAAGAAGTAAAACTCATTCCACTCCGAAAAGTGCATTTTTTCCAACCTCATTGTAAAATTTGGCTTTGTTTTAAAGCCTTAAAAATTAAACAGGATAATGAAATCTACATTTATAAAGCACATATTCACATCTACTCAGACTTAAGGATCTTAAATAAAATCACAAAAAAATAATGCTTAGTAGCTCCAAATATAAAACTATTTGATCTGAATAACGGTGAAATTCCTATTAGAAAGATATAAAAGCTTAAGAACAGCGGGCAGGAAAAGCTCAACGTATTTGCATCCACAGCCGTATTTGTGCAATCTATTAATTTACAACTCATTAGAAAATGTGGAACATTTTCATTTTAACCTAAGTTATGAAAGTAGAAAAGTAATTAAAGTAACAGTTTAATGAAATCATGAACCATACATAGAGTCACTGGAGATTATGCATAAATTACTTCAATTAATCACATGCACACTGATCCAGATGATAACTCTAAATCAGAGTTAGGAATATTCCTTTCTTTATTTTCTGCTCTTTTTGCTGTTTGTATTTGCATGCCTGTTCGAGTGTGTGTGAGTATGCCCACGTGTGTATATATATGTGTGTGTGTGTGTGTGTGTGTGTGTGTGTGTGTGTGTGTGTGTGTGTGTGTGTGTGTGTGTGTGTGTGTGTGAAGTTGATTTGTGCTTTGTGTGTTGTGTGACTGAAGGGGAACATGATGGGGAAGAGTCCAAAGGTCTGGTGCGCCCTGGAGAACGTGCGTGGCCAGAGCCACATCTCAGACCCTTCCCCTCATCCTGCCTCCTTCGCCCCGCGCTGTCACGGGATATCTCCGAGGGTGACGGTTTCCCTGGCAACTACAGCCCGGTCAGGAGGCTGCATTGTGCGTTCAGCCGGTGATGCAGAACGCTCTGCTGAAGGTGGGGTACGCTAAGTGATAGCGGGTGGTGCAAAGGGGGACAAGAGTAGGGGGGGGGGGAGAACATGAGCATGCTTTTGTGCACCTCTCGCCATATAATGTTTAACGTTCTCCTTCTAATCAACACTAGACCTCGATTAGAAGACTAGTGACAGCCAAATGAAGTTTCATTTGCATACACATGCTGGGTGAAATCAGAACTGATGCCAGTGTGTGAATCTGTTTGACACAGCCAGGACAGGCTACTAGTAGTCTGCTAGCAGCTGCTTTTGATAGAGACGATTGTGTTTACCACCCAGGGCGCCTTTGTGTCAATGGGTGGCAGGAGGAATTGGAAGCTGAGATAAATGTTGTTTTTATTATTATTAATTATTTTTAGAGAGTCAATAGGGATTGGGCTCCCCCTGTGTTTGGTCAAAGAAAATATAATCCTACATTGTTGCTGGTAAATGATTTGAGATTCCTATTTGGTTCAAAATGAAAATGTGGTTTTATTGTTCCTGAAGTAATCTGGATTACAACTGAGCTGCTCTTGTTAAATTAATATTTCTGAAAACACGAATATGTTCTCGTCGCAAATATAAATAAGTAAATAAAGCTGGGCTGTTCTTGGCAGCACTGTTGCCGTATACAGCAAGAAGATCCTGCGTAAACTGGAAACAGAGAACAGGTGATCCAACTTAAAATATAATTTGATCACAAGTAATCAAGTTAACCCTATTAAGTTGTCAGGTTAAAACATAAAGGAAGTTAGACAAACTTAATTAATTTACCTGTGACCAATTCGTACCAGTTTTTAAGTTGGAGCTGCATTTTCTGTTTTCACTGTGCAAATACTAGCCTGGGATCTTTCTTTCAATATGGGGATCGATTTGATATTAATAACTGTACCGGTCTGCTATTGAAGAAAATTCTAGATCAGGTATCAGATGACTATGTGCCCGGGCATATCTGTTTAATCTAATTCTATGCTTTGTGCTCTGAGTGAAGTCATGCTTTATATTTATTTTACATTATATTTAGTATTCCTAATTGCACTTTCTGAACCAGTTTAAAAGTTTGTTGCATTTTATTTTTTACTTGTTTGACCAAGGTAGTCAACCTATGGTTTTTGTCAGTTTTGCTTTCTTTATTCTATACTACTGTGAAGCTATACACAATAGCTTCACGTCATGTGAAGTTATACACAATAGCTTCACAGTAGTATAGCTTCTACTGCTGCAGAGTTACCAAATAATTTCTAATTCAGTACATTTATGTCTGTGTTTTAAAAAAGAAAACATTTCAAGTCAATTCAGCACTGTTTTTCTGTATCGGATCGGTACCAGCCGATACTGAACTTTAGATATCTGTACTGGTATCAGAAAAAGAAAAAAGTGGATCGGTGCAGACCTAAACTTTCTGCATGGAGTTTGCAGGTTTTTCATGTGCGTGCGTTGGTTTTCTCCAGGTACTCAGGCTTCCTGACATAGTTCAAAAACACGACTGTTGGGTTAACTGGTTACTCTAAATCGCCCCCTGGGTGTGATATTTGCATGCATGGTAGTTTGTCTTCTGTGTTACCCTGTAATGGACTGATGACCTGGGGCGCCACTCACCCAATGACCACTGGAGATAGGCACCAGGCCCCCTGTGACCGTGCATGGACAAGCCGCTATAGATTCATGGACAAACACGAACTTCTGGTGCTTTTTTTTTTGTATTAAGGCAAAATTAAACTGAACCAAACCTGGAATAAATTTTTACATTGCTTACATATTTATTAAAACACACTTCGGATTAAAACCTGTCTGTTTTCTCACATAGTCAGAACACAGGAGGAGATTCTCATCCAGGGTGACGAAAACAAGAACCACTGCTCTACACATCTGTTTAATTCTTCATTTTGAAGGGATTATGTCGCTACACAGTATACAGTAAGTATCTACCCCAGACACAAACACTTACCCCTGCTGCAGACCGAAGTCTCCCCTCAAAGGTGACTCTATCAGAGCGCCCCCTGCTGTCCCTCAGGGTGTACAGGCCCTCCAGGCTGCCGACCTGCCAGGAAGAAAAAAAGAACACGCTGTTAAGCTAAACTCCTAGCTAAACTACTGCGTGAGAATTGAAGCAACATTTGCTGTGTTCCATACTTCTTAAGTCAGAATTAGCGGAAAATGACATTGATAATAATATCTGTTTGTGGAAAAGATGTAAGAATTTTTTTTTTGTTTGTTTGTAAAATCACAACATAGCACTCGTCGATACCGACACGTCGTATTCAGCCTTAATCACCCTCGTGACCCGTCGCGCTACCTGACTGCGCTGTACCCCCTCCCCCACCGGCCTCCACCCTCGGCCACCTGTCCTGTGTGTGTCGGGGTAGGGGGGGGTCCGAGAGAGTGGTGGGCCGAAATCAAATAGCCCAGAGTTTATCTAACCTTATCCCAGGCTTTTCATTTCCAAGCCTTATAAACTCAATCGTATTGACCGCCTGGGAGAGTTAGAACTAACTAAGTGAAATCTACTCGGCAGCAATTGTGTGCCGGGGCGCATGTTGTGCGTCTCCGCGGCGAATGTGTGTGTGTGCGCGCGCGCGGCTCGCTGATTCTATCTTCCTTCGCTTTCATTCTCTCTATTCTCTGTCCCCGAGGTGCATCAGGGCTGAGACTGCCGAGTAAATTGTCCCAAATTGAGTTCCCTCTTGCCGGCAGATACAGGCCACATCCCGACCGTTTAGAACGAGCCAGAGAAAGAAGAGGAAAGAGCGAGAGAGAGAGAGAGAGAGAGAGAGAGAGAGAAAACAATCACAGCACACATCACTCGCTTGAAAAATTTCTATCTAATTTCTTTCCTTGGCTTTCTTTCTATTCACCCTCCCTGACTCTCCTTCTTCTTCTCTGCAGTACTGATTTCCCTGCTGCCTTTCTGTCTTCTTGCAGCACATTATTCTTCTGTCTCTCAGTCTTTATATCACTCCCTCTGTGTCTTCTCTTGTCTTTGTCTGCTGCCACAGATGTACATCCGTCTTTTCTCGCTCAGCTTGGTTTTTTCTTCCCCTTTGATGCCTGGTCTCCTTACTCCATCTTTTCTTTTTCTTTTTTTTCCCCTGTCCTCTCTCCTTCAAACCCTGCTACCTTTCTCCCAACAATAATTTCTCTACGCCTTTTTTCTCTCACCTCAGTTTCAATCCCTCCTTTGCCTTCTCATTCCTCTCTCTATGGATGGCTGTACCCGGTGACACAGTACCCATCAGCACAGACGTCCTGGGTGGAGGAGTCTGGCTCTGACAATAATCACACAGCAAGTTTATAACACTGGCAGCCCAGCTGAGTAGAGCTGAACTGAGCACACACGACTCCCATGATGCCAGCACACTCCATTTAACTCGGCAGGGGGGCTGCAGGCTGGCTGGGGTGGGAATGAAGCATGAGACAGATATGGGGATGCCTACGTGTGCGCGTGTGTGTGTGAGTGTGTGTGTTTTTTTTTCTCTTCTGGTTGGGGGGGGGGGCTTATGCTGGAGCAGTGTCTGAAGACAGATATGGAAACAGGATCTGGAAGGATGGTTATAGCTGATACTGCAGCTGCCGGGGGATGAAGGATTTGGGAGTTTTAGGTATAAGACGAAACTCATTCCGTAAGTAGACACTCCCATCCAGCAAAAACTTCAATAGAAAAGTCCTGGCAGAAAAAAAAACACTGACATATGTAAGATTAAACAGTCCTTCCACGACAAACTTTAAGACATGTGATTAACATATTTAAGGCCAATCTTCATTTTAAAAAAAAAACTAATTTAAGACATTTTAAGGCCTTCGTTTGTGATACATGAATTTAAGACTTTTTAAGATCGTTTTAATGCCACCCCGAGTGAATTTTAAGACTGAAAAAAACCATAAATACAGGAGACGGTTGGGAAGTCCTACTGTATGACAGTCAAGCATAGCAAACTAGCAAAATTTCTGGGGTCTGTTTGTGGCTCTTGGCAGCAACTTGGTGTTTCTCACACTGTATACAAAACTCTTTGCACAGTATGCGCCTTGAACCATATGGGTTGGCAACAGAAAAGAGCCAGTGGGGAAACCGAACATCATCCATCCAAGTGGCGATCAATTTCTACTTGTGATAGAAGCAAGACAGCTAGCTACAGCTAGCCCGGGCATATCGGCAGCTAGCCAGGGCATATCGGCAGCTAGCTAGCTAGCTAGCTAACAGGATCGAGATATCTGACTCAAACTTTTGCTTGAGAGAAAAGTCCTGCTGGAATTTTGTTAGTTTGACTGATTGCTTAGTTTGTTCACTGCTAGTTCCAGTACGTATGGAACTAGCAGCTAGCCAACTAGTCAAATGTTGTCTCATTTTTTTTAAGTGAATTGTCATTTGTTTAGCAGGTTTTCAGTTTTGACAACAAAAATACACCCAGGTACATTGTAGCTACAGCAATGGAAAGACAGCCACTGCACAAGTAAAACAAAAAAAAAACCAAATGCACATGCATACTTTCAGAAAATTCAGCTATAAAGATTAGAGAGCTATTTCAAACACATCAAAAAGAAATGCATGCATGCACATGCGCACACATTCAGTAAATCTATATATTTTTGCACCCATCAGAGCAGATTGGCAACAAAACAATATGAGGCCAATCAGGAGACCATTGGTGTGGTTCTCCGTTTGCTAATGAAGGCACTTTGAGAAGGTAATCTAATTCACCAGCCGCAATTAAGACTGGTGAGCGCCTTGTCACTATCAATTATCCACTCTTTCACTCATGTTCTCCAGCGCGGACGCTGAGCTTGCCTGACACACAGTACTGTTGGACAAATCCACCCAATCTGCCAGCCACTAATCATGGGAACACTAATCATGAAAGTGTTCAAACACACACATGCATGTTGAATGCTTCAACAGTTCCACAATGGACTAGGTAAGCTTGGCCTGATTTCACTATTCTTCTTGGCGAGACCACATAGATGGCGAAGATAGGAGGGAGTTTGGATATCAATGTATATAGAAATCGAAATGATTACCTTATAAACCTATCTGATATATGGAAAATGTTTTCCATATATATGTTAAATATAACAGGCTACAAAAATTTGTGAAGTGACTCCCAGTTATTTATTTGGATATAAATAGTTGTCAAGTGTTTCCAAACTAATACACTGAACTGTAAAAAGGATTTAACCTTTAAGGGGTGGTATCATGTGAAATTGACTATTTAACTATTGAGCTTTCCTCATCAGAAACATAACTGGAGTGTTGCCTTGATTCTTTCATGCACATTTGAGAAATCCTTTAATCTCCTGTGGCAACCATTCAGCTGTGTGGAACACCTGGATGGACCTAGCAACTCCTTCTAGACGAAGCTCCTCCTCAGAGCTGCAGTTTCCAAGCTTTTGCACTTTCGCCTCACAGAGCAGTCCTCTCAGCTCCTTCAGACTAGCCAGAAGCAATTAGCAAACACCTGGTGGAACTGCACATCTGCTGAATTCATTATACCAGCCACTTCTCTGTGCCAAAGGGTTAATAGAGGAGCCATGTTGTGATGACTTCCTGAAGTTTGGTGACTACTGTTTCTGATGTTTAAGGCAGCTGTTTGTTGTTGTTTTTTACATATGTATTTCAATATTCACAAATTGCATAACAAATGTCTGCAGCTGCACAACCCTTAATTATTCATTAACTTTGTTTCACAAAGCCATGAGGTGAATTTATGAGTACAAAATATTTTTTGCCCAAATTAGGGTTATTCTGGTTTCATTTCAGCTCAAGGGTCTGTAATCTAAAGAGCATTTTGCCTCCAGTCCAGCTAAATAAAACTCATTTACATCCTGTTATATTATGACCTGTTGAAAAGAGACTGCTTTGATTTTTGATAAATATCTACTGCTGAAAATTTGTTGCACTTTTTGAACAACAATTTCTGTTTTTTTAACTGAAATAAAACGTAACATTATTGCAAAAGCAGGCATGGATAATTTTTGTTTTGTCTGGACTGTTGATGTTGGTGGAAAGATGTAAAAATTAAAAAGAAAGCTCATAGTTTCCAACCTAATGGTAAGAAAAATAGATCTAAAAATATATTCCTGGTAATTTTAGTATCATTATGTTGTGGAAATTCAACAAAATTGTATTAAATCTATATTTAAAAGCTTTTGTGGGTTGCAGATTCCTGTAGCTCCTTGTAACAATCAATATTCACACCAGTCTTTCTCATTTAGTGTCCGCAAGAGCTGAGTAGCACGCTGTCGAAAAGAAAACACAACAAAAACACAGCAACACAAACAGGGAATTGATGGAGGAAGCATAACGTGTAGCCAAAAACAAACACAGACATCCAGAGTCATTGAAGCAGTGTGTGAAAGCTGTTTGAGATGGTCCACCCTATGGAGAAAACAGCAGCATGTGTGTCTGCTAACAGCCCCACAGGGATCGAGGGCTCCACAGGCTCTGCTATGGAAAAGCAGGAAACAGTGGAGGGAAGGGGGCTGGATGACGGAGGGCTATGCTAGGGGTTAAACGAGGTGAGCCGTTAAGCTTTGTTAGTTACAGTATTGGCAGGGGATGTAGCCACGGAGAAGGGCTGGGCTCCGAGTTCAACAGTCCATCTTAAAGTAAAAAAGAATAAAGTTATAGGAGCTCTTAAATGAGCTATAAAACCATTTATCTCTTGTAGTTTGGGAATGAATTGCAAAAGAGTTATAATGTAGTATAATTTTATAAGAAAAGAGGCATTATTTTACAAATGTGCAATTGGATTGCACATTTGCAGCCCAGTATAGAACAGTTATCTGGTTCTATAGTGGTCATATAGAACCAGGGGATACTTTATGAGTTATGCTTCCTCCATCAATTCCCTGGCCTGGAAAAGTAGTCGTACACATTGAATTTTTCACAAGTCATAAATTGAATCTATTTTACTGTGGTAAACCACAGCAAAATGTAGAAGGACGATGAAACATGGTTCCACCAAACAGAAAAGAAAAAAAATCTAAAACGGGGCAGTGTTAATTTGTATTTAGTTCCCCTTAGTCCATACTTTGTAGAACCAAGTA